TATCGTTCATGGTGATTTAAACACATTTTAAGGTGGCCAAATGGATGCCGACGCGGCGCTATCACAACACCTCAAGTGTTGGTCCCCCTGGTCATACAACAAAGTGTATCGTCGATCCAGAGAAGGCAAGACAATTTTTATTTTGTCCACTCCAAATTTTCCGTATTATCAACGCATTCAAAGCTTTTCCTCGCGATTCTTCAATTTTGTCTTTTTTTCCTATTAAAAATAGAGTTGCCTTTTGGTTCGCTGTCAGAATTCATATAACTCTTCTGTAAAAGGTTTGAAGAAAATTCCAAGCTTTCTTTTGCTCAGAGATTCTTGGAGGGCCACTCACTTTCTGAATGAAAACGAAAGATTGAGTTTTAGTGGAACTGTAGTTGTTATTTAGTTTACTGTAGTTATTAAAGGTTCTGGTGATGAGCGTACATTATGTGCAAAAGTTCTTTGATGACTATATTCTACACCGCTTGGATCCGAAGGAAGGAGTAGTGAGGTGAGCTGTCAGAGTAATAGCTCATAATAAAGTTTCCAAGCAGGGTCAACCGTCCGTTGGACAAAGTCCAACGGGGGGTCGTATTTGGCCGACGCTAGAGGGGGGTCGTATTCGCAGGAGTCAACGTTGCAGTACGAAGAGGTTTTTGGGTGTAGATGACGAGAGGTGGTTTTCGCTATAAGGAACCTAATGTGTGTTGTGATGAAGCTCGCAGCTGTTGGCTCTTGCTGGGACCATCGAACGATTAGAATCAAGACGTTAGTTCTCGCGACAGTAGGTGAGAGGTAAAACTTTTGAGTGCTTCTTCAACTATTGAGCACAAACGAGTGCATGGCGCACATCAGAGCAGAAGAGTCTACTGCGAAAGTATCCATATTTGACTGCGCACGTACACAAATATAATTCTAGAGGTGAACCAATGCCTTCAAACTGGACTAAGTTAATAAATGACATAATGAGTGCGGGGAGGGGGTCGTATGGAGACTCTCCAAGAGGGGGGTCGTAAAAATTTTGAAATCGGTCCAACGTGACGGTTGACCCTGTTTCCAAGTGTACCGTTGTAGTTGTACTAGGAAAAAAATAGGCGCTACCGTAAGATACGGGGGGCATTGTAGTGACAATGTGTTTGAATCACTGCAAAGCATCTTTTCTTTTTGTTGAAAATGGAAATAAGATCTAGGCAAGGGAGGAGAGAATCCGGGGTTCGAGAGCATTTTTCACTCTCCCCAAGTTCCTGTACCTGCAAAGCTTAGTTGTAGAGGATGTCCCCATATCTTATGATAGCGCCGAAAAATAAATCAAGCATCAGTTTTTTGATGACATAATATTTTCAGGCACTATCGGGACGTGAAATCTGGTAACTGGGGGAAAGTGTGGTTGAAAGGCGTTGAACGGATGGGTAACTTCTCCATGACTGACTATCCAGAGCTCTACAGTGCGCCGTTACTGAAAAACGTTCAGGACCGTGTTAGATTTGTGTATGGTGGAATTAGCCAAAATACGACTATAAAATAAATGTTTGGTTTTTGTTGCCGTTACTGAGAAAGCTCCAGCAACAACCATGCCTGAGGTTTCCGCAAATCATCTAGCAAATCATCTATGTTCACCCGGTAGAATCTCAGGATAAATGCACCTATCATAAAGAAGAAGATGAGGGTCGAAGAAGAGGGTAATATTGCTGACAGGTGCTTAAAGCCATATTGTAGTCAAAAATGGTATTAAAAGTGACTACGTCTCTGAACAAAAATTGAATACACAGAGACTCTAATGAGATAAACCATTTTGCCTTTACAAAAGTGCTCCAACGGCGAATCACTATTTATGCAGGCCTGTT